TGGTTTAAAATCAAATTTGTTTTGGTACCCAAGTATTCTTGGTGCCGGTTTGTTTAGGGACATGACCCCTATCATTAAAGCTCAAAGCCTTAGGGTTATGAACCCTCTTAGGCGCATGTGGTGCACGAACACGGTCATAACAAAAATTACTCAAATGACCCTTCCGATTGCAATATGTACAATGGAAAGGAAGCATTTGCTTATGTTGACCAAACGGTTGTGCACGGGAAACATTAGAAACATTTGCAAACATGGATGGTCTTTTAAAATTGTTTTGCAAATGTGAAACTTTCTTTAAATCAAAACAAAATTTGGCCAAATGACCAAATCTACCACAATAATCACAATGATACACATTACCATGCTTATGATGAACAATGGGTGCATGTGTGTGTACATGTGATGATGAAGAAGCCTTGTGAGATGCACATGGAGTATTAGCAATCTTAGGTTTGTATGCATCATAGCAAAATTTAGCAATGTGGCCTTTACGACCGCAAATGGAGCACTTGTAAACTTTGCTATACAAGTGTGCATAGTGTGTAGGTGATTTTGTAGCACTAGATTTAGCACACTTGTCCATAAGTATCTTATGGTTATCAATGCATGTTTTTAAAGTTGAATCTAAGCATGATATGCGTTCCTTAACAAGATTCAAATCATCATTATGCACAACATCATTGATAATAGAAGTAGAGCATGTATGGTTATCAAAATCATTTCTAATAGCTACTACTTCTAGCATGACATTATCTCTTTCATGAGTTAACTTAGCAAAGTTTGAAAGCAAAGAATCATGATCCAATTTTAATTTTTCATTGTTTTCTTTAAGGATCATATTTTCATTAGAAATAGTATCAAACTTAGATGCTAACAACTCATGATCGGATTCCAAATCCTCATGCTTGCTTTTTAAATTAATAAAATTTTTATGCAATAAGTTATAGGCATGTAATAATTTTTTACTAGCACAAGCAAGTTCATCACTAGATAAATCATTAGTGGTTTCAAACTCGCAAACCTCACTAGGGCTATCGCCTAGTGGCCGTGTGCATGATGCTCCATATGAACTTGAAGTCGGATCCTCCAAATCTTGTTAGCTGCAAAGCTTGTCGGATCGCCTCCAAGTCTCCTTGATGTGCTTCTATAAATTTCCAAAGTTTGTAAGCACTATCAAAATGAACAAACTTGTTAGACATAGATGAATTAAAAGCATTTAGCAAATATTCTAACAAAATATTGTTCATTGTAAACATACGATGATCATTCTTATTCCACTTGGATTTCTCCAAAGTGGGCACAATATAAGCATCATCTATAATTTCCCATAAATCAAAGTGTTTAGATTGAACAAAAAGTTTAAATCTAACACACCATTGGGCATAGGGGAAATTATCTAATCTAGGAGCAATATTGATGGCATAACCTAAACCATGCATATCCATAATATAAAAGGCAAGCAAGATACAAATAAAGCTCAAAATTAGATTAGCACAATAAGCTAACTTGGATCTTTAACTCAAGGCAATTAGACCTTAAATCAAAGAGCACCAAGCTCTGATACCAATTGTTAGACCCTAGAGGGGGGTGATTAGGGTCTTATGCTAATCTAATCCGATTATATGCTAATTAAAAACTAATTAACAAGTTATCCTAGCAAGTATGAAATACAACAATGTATATGAGCTAGGATAAGCAATATGAACAACAAGATATATCCTAACAAAGAGATATATGCAATGTATGTGCAAGGATATATAAACTCAAGAGTAAACAATCTAAACTAGATAGTGGGCAATATAATCAACAAGCAATATACAAAGGCGATATAAGATATGAACATAAAAGGAAGTGCGCCAATGCAATCACAAACAAACAATATGATTACGGAGTTCGGTCCCCACGACCTACGTCTCCGCTCCTCACCTCGAGGAGATCTCCACTATCACAACCGGGTTTTCTACGTTCACCCGAACAACGTTTACACCTCACAATACAATCACTATGCAATCACACCTCACACACTAAGTGTTGGTCCTAGCCCGTGTCCTCCTCCTCAAGTGCTCGGTTACAACCTCTCCCTAGGCACGTCAACCGACGCCACTCCTCTTGGATTCGACCCCGTCTCTCACCACACACTTCTCTCGGTGTACAAGTGTATTACAAGTGAATCATCACAATTAGGCTCAATACAAAGTGTTTGTTCTCTACAATGAATGAGAACGAATTATAAGCTCACTCTCTAAGTTACACAATCCCACAACCCAATTATACTATGAATGTAAATACAATAAGCTCAAATGGTTGTGTGTATAAACATAGAGAAAATAAAATCAACTAAACTCAATATGAATACTAGCTTAATAAAATGATAATCAAACAATATGAAATATAAAGCTAGATTGAGTTTAGAAAACTTCTCAATAGATGACAAGAGATGGAGGGAGAATAGTTGATTGCTCAAACTCTAATAGATGATCTCCTCAAGCTCTTGTGGAATTGAATTCTCAAACTCAAACACCCAATTGCTTAAAAGCTTCTAAACAAACATTAAACAAACTTAAACCCTTGTTTAAAACTCTTTAAACTTATTTAAAATATTTCTTGAGTACCCTTAGAAGTATGAGGGCATGGGGTATATATAGGCTCATGAAACAAGTCCAAAAACCAAGAAAAACACCCCCAAAACATTAAAATAAAAAAAAAACAGAACTAGTTGTTACTGTAGCAACGGTCGGCTGCTACAGTGCTTCGGTCGACCGGTACGGTCGGCCGAGAGGCATATGCAAAGCTGAGAAACGTCCAGAGACATTTCCGGTCGACCGGTCCGGTCGACCGGAGTTACTGTAGCAGTGCACAGCTGTTTTGTAAAATCAATTTAAAATAGTAAATGAACTCCAAAAATTATGAAATTTTGTGGGAATGTTCTAGACATGTAGAATAACATGTCAGAGAAAGAATATCTGAAAAATCATTTCCCAATTGAGAGAAATAAATATTTGAACACAAATTTACAGTTTCTGAAAAACTGTTAACATAATGAATACCATATTTTCACAAAAATTGCATATTCTGTGCAATATTTTCAAAAACACAATTGTAAATATGAAATATGTGATTTCATATTTATAAACATGAAAACCCAAAAACATATGTATGTATATATATAAAACTATATATATATATATATATATATATATATATAGAAACCAATAAATGCGTGTGTGTAGATAATTGAGCTTAGAGTACTTAACACACATAATATAAATCCTAAACTAAATTACCCAAGCTTGATCTTGATCTTCAATAAGCTCTTCTAGGTAATCTTGCGGATGAAGCTTTAACTTGGATCTTGAACTTTGAATAGCAAGGCTTCACCGACATTCCGCCAACCTCCATTTGATATGAACATTAAGGCTTGATTCCATCCATCCTCCAACAACGTTGTTTGTCTACAATAAATACGAAAACACAAATACTAGACAAACAACATTAGTGGGAAATTGTTTGTTAAACATCATCAAAACAAGAAGGTCAACAATGTTGATATCAGAAAGAGCACTACAGAGTATGTCTATACTCTAGGAGGTACTACAGTGAGTTGGGTTTCTCAACTGCAGAAGATAGTTGTTTTCTCCACAACTGAAGCAGAATATGTTGTTGTTACAGAAGCCAGCAAGGAAATAGTTTGGCTTCAAAGTTTCTTGGATGAATTAGGCAAGAAACAAGAAGACAATGTCTTATATTGCGATAGTCAAAGTGCTATTCATCTAGCGAAGAATATATTTTTTCATTCCAGAACGAAGCACATACAGATGAGATATCATTTCATCCAGTCACTTCTGGAAGAGAATTTTGAAACTTAAAAAGATCAGTGGAGCTCAAAATCTGGCAGACATGCTGACAAAGACGGTGACTACTGACAAACTGAAGCTGTCCGCAGCTTCAGTTGGCCTGCAATAATATCAAGATCAGGGAAGAGCTGTTGTATAAATTCAAATTTGTCTTCAAGTGAGAGATTGTTAGTCAAAAAGGGGAGGAGGACCTTCGGTGATCAAAAAGGGGAGGACTTTTAGTAGCCGTATTTTTTGAAAGAGGAAAGGAAAGGACAATGCCTTTGTCAAATGTCAGGAAGAAAAAATGGGGGTACTCAGGCTATAAAACTCACACCCCTCTTCCCTTAACTCATCATCCTCCAGCTACTAAGATACAATCAAGGCAGTGAGAAAATATAGAGAGGCTAAGAGGGTGAGAACTCAGTGAGTGAAAAATCTAAGAGAGAGAGTACTCAGGAGAGAAAATTCAGGGCAATTTTCAGAGTGCTTGTAATATTTCTTCCATTAGTGAAAGATCTGCAGCAGCCCGTGGACGTAGGCAATTTTGTGCCGAACCACATAAATTTTGTGTGTCCTCTTATTGTGCATATATTCGCTTTCTCGTAAATCTGGTTATAAAGGAATTTGCCTAGTTTCCCACCCCACCCCAAACTAGAAATAAACCCAACGATGATGATGCCGTTGCTGCTGCTGCTGATAGTTATAATAATAGTACTAAAAATAATAAAACCACAGAGAGGGAGTATTCACTTTTCTGCTCAGGATTTCCCACACTTGCAACTTATCTTCAACTTCTCTCTTAATAGTTATAAGTGACATCATGTCTGAGTTTTCTGAAGATTGATTTTCTGTAGTATCACCACATTCGTGATCTGTGTGCTTCCTAACCACCTTCTGTTTGAAATGTTTCATAGTAATTACATTACTACTGGTGGAAGAAATAAATGTTGAGATCGCCGAGTTGATCAAGGCGTCAGGTTAAGGTTCTGGACTGGAAGGGTCTTGTTTCAAATCCCTCTCTCAACATTCTATATGTTTCAAAACTGACAGAAGATACAGGATTCATGAAATCTGACGCCAAGACTTTGGGATAAAGAGTTTACTGTTATTACTGTTATTCATGGAAGAAACATACCCCATTTTCGCTTCCTCCTGATTCCTGGGTGTAGTGTCAACTCTTCATTTCTGTGAAGGCTTGCAGTTATGAAGTAGAGAAGTTCAAAGAAATGTGAAAACCTACTCGAATGGGTGAAAAAAGAAGCGCCTGATCTCCAGGCATCATCTCTGATGGTGGATCTTCTCCTTCCGTCGTCCACTTTGGTAATTGAGATCACTTGAATCTTAGTTATGTGTTAACTCCAGGTTGTTTGTAGTTGCTACTGGTAATTACTGACTAGACAATGATTCTAATTGAAATGACTATATAATGATTCCTACATTGAAGAACATAAGTTTTGATATCAGCAAATTTGAACTTTAGAGTGAGAGGAGTTCCTTTTTTTTTTTTGCTTTTTCGTGGTCCAGGCTGTTCAAAATTCCAACGGATATGGTTCTTCCTCCAATCTGCTTAACATTGAACAGAGAAGCAATAGTTGAAAGACAACTGAAACTTAGAGTATATTCATATTTGAAGAATTTTTTTTATCATTTTTACAGAATTATATTGGTTATATTCCTTTAGAAGAAAAAAAAACTGAGGGGTATAAAAATTCCTCCGAGGGAGAATGTAGGAGTAAATTGGCAAATACAAAGATTAGAGGTAAATTTGAAAATAGGTTAGATCTGGGAGGTATATAAACAATTTTGACATCTTTTTTGTATTGTAAATTTGTACAGAACATTACCGTTTGAAATTTTATAAAAAGCGGGGGAAATGGGTGAAAAAAGCAGAAGCGGCACCTTGTCACTTCCCAAAGACACTTTCGAGACAAAAGCGGACGAAGGGGTCTAAAAGCAACCCAAAGTGGTCGAAAAGCAGTCTACAGCGAACCAAAGCGCTAGTGCTGGATCGTTTTTACTCATTTTACATAGTTTTCCCCTTTTTCTACAGAGGCTTCTACTTGGAGTTTGGAAGAAACTCGAAGCAATATAATGATGATTGTATATAATAGATTTGTATTCTTCTGTTTGATAATTTACATTGAAGTCGTTTGTTGACTATTTGATGTGCATATCAAACTACACCTTGGTTTATCACGTTACAGTATGTATATTGTTAATGTAAGCAGCTACCTACGTCAGCCACCATTTCAATAGTAACCACTTACCTAGCTACAATATTCACCAACCACAAGACCCACAAAACGTTACTATAGGGACATTGTAGCAACCTAACTTCCACAGTGTACACTCACCACAATATCACCTATAAATAGTCCCCAAAGTCTTTGGTGGACATCATCCCAGAAGCAAGAAAAAGAGAGAGAGAGAAAGAGAGAGAGAGAGAGAGAGAGAGAGAGAGAGAGATTGTAGAAGAGTAAAGTAGTGTAGTATTTCGTAGTAGAGAGTGTTTGCATTGAAGAGAGTATAGAGGGTTGTACTACTAAAAAAATAATGATAAAATATTTTTTAGTATCCACCACACTTCTCAACAAGTGGTATCAGAGCAGGCGGTCAAGGACCGGCTCTCTCCTACAGTGATCCTATCGACATTATTGAAGGCCGAAGCTCATACTCAGTACGGGACTGTGAATTTGGTTGGTCAAGGACCAGATTTGTTTTGAGATATTGAAGCAGTACCACATCATGATGGCGGATTTAACAAGTACTATTGGTACACTTAAGAAACTCAATGGCAACAACTACAGCTACTAAGAGACTTGTATGAAACCTTATTTGTAAGGACAAGACCCTTAGGAGGTCATCAGAAATGCTGAAACTATAACACCTCAGGAAGCTGGCGAAGAACTAAGGAAGTAGAATATCAAAGTCGTCAAGGCTATGTATGTACTAAAGACGACAGTAGAAGAAGATCTCGTAGACTATATGCGAGATGCCGAACACCAAATGAGGCATGGGATATGCTCACCACAATTTTCTCAAAGAAGAATGATGCTTGACTTCAGCTCCTTGAGAATCAACTGATGACCTTGCAACAAAAGGATCTAACAATCAGTTGGTACTTCAAGCAAATAAAATCATTTTGTTTAGATATTGCTCAATTAGGTCTTGATTTTAGAGTGTCGGATGCAAGAATGTGAAGAATAATCATCTAGGCGTTTAAGACCGGAGTACCATAGGTTGGTTGCTGCTACACACGGCTGGTAGACTTCACCAACATTATTAGAGTTTGAGAGTTTGTTCGCTACACAGGAAACCCTAGCCAAACAAATGGTCGGTGTTTTAATAAAAAGTAAAGACAAAACACTCTTCAGTAGCAAGGAGAGAGACAAACCAAGATACACGAGCAAAGAGGAGTATGAAAAGGTTAGCTCAAGGAGGCAGCTAGGACGACCATACACTAGTAGAACACAACAAAGTGAGGAGCAAGGTGATCGTCGAGCGAGGCAACCTGACGGTAGCTACTACAAGTATGGAAAGAAAGGATACTTCGCCAAAGACTGCTGTTATAAGAGAAGACCTGCAGAGGGCAATGCTACAACATCGCGCAGATATCAAAATAATGAAGATGAATGGGATGCCCAAGGATCCGTGGCCATCATTGAAGATGTATCAGTTGACAAAGGAGAGGTCGTTAATATGGTAGTAAACCTCGATTGCGGAGGAATTTGAATCCGCACTTACAACGGTTTCAAATCGGGAAGAAATTAGCTACATTAAAGATTGGATTGTCAATTCCTGTTGTTCCAATCACATGATAGGAGACAAGGTGAAGCTTGTCAATATGAAGGAGTATAAAGGTGGCCGAGAAGTTGTGATTGCGAATAATTCAAGATTACCTGTCACACGCATCGAAAAGACTGTTTACACCATGCTACAACTTGAATAGGATACAACTACAAGATGTATACTATATACCGGGTATGGAAATGAACATTCTGTCTGTTTTTTAATTTTTAAAAACTATGTAATATTTAGGCCACAAGATGTAAAAGACAATCGAAACTTGAAGCTGCCAGTAGAACCTATCATGGTGGAACGAAGAGTTGAATCTATGTATGTAATGTTAGCAGAATTAGCATACATGGATAAAGCTCGGAAGAATGAGATGGCTGATTTGTGGCATGTTCGCTTGGCCATATGAGCTACCACAAGCTCAAGTTTATGATGGAAAAGTCAATGTTGAAGGGTCTTTCACACTTGGAGATTCGAGGAGGGATCGTATGCGGAGGTTGTGAGTATGATAAGGCGCATCAATTATCATACCAGTAGTCACAATTTAGAGCAAAGGAACCTCTAAAGCTTGGGCACTCAAATGTATTCGGCCGAGTGAAGCAGGAACCAATGAATGGCATGTGATTCATGATCACTTTTATCGATGATTACTCGAGATATGTCTAGGTTTATTTTCTAAAGGAAAAATCCAATGCACTCTCCAAATTCAAACAATTTGGAGAAGAAGTCGAAGGAGAGCTTAACAAGAAAATTTGTTGCCTACGCACAGACAATGGGGGAGAGTATACATCAAAGGAGTTCTATGACTACCTGAAGCAGTACAAGATTCGCCAACAGCTAATGTGCCTAAATACTCCGCAATAATATGGGATTGTTGAAAGGAAGAATCATCATATTACGGAGATATGCCGAAGCATGCTTCATGTCAAGAACGTGTCAGGATGTTTTTGGGCTGAGTGAAAACTACGACACGTGATCAATTAGTTATCACAACCAAAATTAGATTTTATGTCACCATTTCAGAAGTTGTGGAATACCAACCCAATCGTAAGTCATTTTAGAGTTTTCGATTGTGTATGTTATGTCTTTGTGCCTGATCACTTATGCAGCAAGTCCGACAAAAAGGTTGTAAGGTGTATTTTTGTGGGGTATGACAGTGAAAGAAAAGGATGGAGATGTTGTGATCCCACAAGCAGACGACGCTACATATTAAGGAATGTTGTGTTTGACGAAGCCTCATCTTAGTAAGTTTCACAAGAAGTTGCGCTACCAGATTCTAAAGATATAGAGGATCGACTACAAGAGAAGGTGGGGGAGCGAAGTCAAGAAGAAGACTTATGTCAATCAAAAAAGATAGAATCAAGTTCTTCAATATCCTCAAAGGAAAATAATCCATGGAAGACCTAGTGTCTATTAGACAACACCAGAAAAAGTGCGCCCGAGCCAGATAGAAGATATTGAAGAAGAATCGGTTAAACAACTTCGAAGATCAACTAGACTAGGAAACTGAATCCTAAGTATGCTAATGCTACCATTATGGAATATGTGAAGGAGCCATCTAGCTTTGAGGAAGCATACAAAATTTCTAAATAGATACGACCAATGGAGAAAGAAATTTAAGTTCTGCAGCAGAACCAAATTTGGGAGTTGGTGCCGAAGCACAAGGATGTCAAACCTATCTCCTACAAATGGGCTTACAAGGTTAAGACTCGACCGAACGGGTCATTGAGAGATGCAAATCACTTTTGGTGGCTCGAGAATTCTCTCAACATTATGGACTGGATTATGATGAGACATTCAATCCAGTTGCCAAGATAACAACAGTTCGAATTTTTCTAGCTCTAGAAGTCAGGAAGAGTTGGACGCTTTGGCAGATAGATGTGAAGAACGTATTTCTACACGGTGAGATGGATTGAGAGATTTACATGGAGCAATCCATCAGATTTAAGAGCAAGGAGAAGGAAAGATATGTTTGCAAACTAAAGAAGACTCTCTACGGACTGAAGCAAACTCCGAGAGCTTGGTATGGCAAGATTGATGAGCTCTTAATTCAAAGTAGATATTTTCTTGCTCCAATAGGTTCTAGTTTATTTTTCAAACAGACTGGCAGTATGCTAGCAATCATGTTGGTCTATATGGATGAGTTAATTCTAACTGGAGATGATGAAGCGAAAATCCAGAGAACAAGGATGAATCTCTCGGTCAGGTTTTAAATGAAGGGACTTGGGTAGCTCAAGCATTTCCTCAGATTGGAGGTCGATCGAAGGAAGGATAGATTATTCTTTTTCTAAGAAAAATATGCGAAGGACATGTTGCTCAAGTATGGGATGTTCAACTACAAGTCAATCTCAACACCAATAGAAACAAACTTGAGATTGTGTGCACACGAAGGAAAAGATTTAAAATATCCAACTATATATCAACAACTAGTTGGAAGTTTGATCTATCTAACGATGTCAAGACCAAATATTTCATTTTTGGTTGGTGTGATGAGTCGATACATGCAGAAGTCAAAGAAGTTTCACCTAGAAACAATCCGAATGATCCTAAGGTATATCAAGGGTATAATTAACTATGGTCTCATGTATAAGAAAGGAGAAGAACGTGAGATTTATAAGTATTGTGATGCTAACTATGCTAGAGATTATGACACTCAAAGGTCTACTACTGGATACGTGTTTAGTCTCGGTTCAGCTGCTCTATCTTGGTGTAGCAAAAAATAGTCAATGGTGTCACTATCAACTACAAAGGCGGAGTATAGATTAGCAGCGATGGTAGTGAAAGCACCTTAGAGGGGGTGTGTGAATAGGGTGAATGCTAATCTAATTTGATATTAATGCCAATTAAAGCTAATTAACAATATCCTAGTAATTATTATATACAACAAGATATATGAGCAAGGATATGCAATATAAACAAGGGCGATATAAACATGCAACAATGGCGATATGAAAATATACAAGAATAAATACGTTAAAGCCAAACTCAAACACAATAAAATGATCACGAAGTTCGGTCCTTCCGACCTATGTCTCCGCTCCCCACTCCCAGGGAGAATCCACTACACAATCGGGTTTTCGACGCTCACCCAAAAAACGTTTACACCTCCACACTCGGTTTTCTAGCTCACCGAAAACTTTACAACTCACACTTGTAACTACACAAATACCACCTCAAGTATTGGCCTCTCACGTGTCTCACTTAAGTGCTCAGAATTACTATCTCTCACTAGGCTTTACTACCAACGTCACTCCTCTTGGGAC